ACTGAAAAAAAAAAAAAAAAAAGACACATCCTGTTTCATTAAGGATCCTTCCACATCCATTTGGCCTGTTGATAGTTCCAAGGCTTTATCTAGTTGCAGTGGAGACTGGAAAATGTAGAGTTTATTCTAGGCCCAACTAAAAATTATGGGTTCTATTTCTCAGGAAAAGAGACCATTGATAGTACCCACAATAGATGACTGTCATTAAGAAACACTTATGTGGAGTATTCTGCTGGTCCTTGCACCAAACAGCCTCACAGTCTGGTGAGAGAGAACAAACCTGTATATGACAGTGTCAGAAATGTATCTTCAGTCCAACACTCCCTTCTCCTATCCTTGGTGTTGGTTAGTGTACATGCCATCATTCCAGGCATCTAATCTTGAATTCCTAGTCTGATTGCTGGTGGTATACATCGCTATTCCACATTCCATAATTTGCTAGAAATTGAAGATTTTGCTTCTGTACTACAGCTTGGATTTATCCCCTTGTGCATATCCTCATGCTTTGGCCCTTGTTAAGTTTTCTGTCAATTACTGTAATAATTCCAAATTGGTCTCTTCTCCAGTGGCTCTCCATCACATCCATCCAAAACATTTACCATTCTGATTAAAGAAAAAAACTTTAGTTTCTTCTCCTGTCTTACAATTTTTTTTTTTGGAGCACAGGCTCCGGACGCACAGGCTCAGCGGCCATGACTCACGGGCCCAGCTGCTCCGCGGCATGTGGGATCCTCCCGGACCGGGGCACAAACCCGTGTCCCCTGCGTCGGCAGGAGGACTCTCAACCACTGTGCCACCAGGGAAGCCCTGTCTTACAATTTTTTAATTCAGGCATTTCAGTCTCCTAATTGTTGTCACTTCCTCTATCATAGCTCTATCTAGCTACTCTATATCTCATTCTTGGGTGTCCCAAATTTTTCAGATTGCTTAATCTCAATGTTCTTTTTTTTTTAATTGAAGTACAGCTGCTGTACAATATTATATGAGTTACAGGTGTACAATATAGTGATTCACAACTTTTAAAGGCTATACTCCATTTATAATTATTATAAATTATTGGTTGTATTTCCCATGATGTACAATATATCCTTGTAGCTTATTTTATACCTAATAGTTTGTACTTCTTAGTCTCCTACACCTATATTGCCCCTCTCCCCTTCCCTCTCCCCACTGGTAACCACTAGTTTGTTCTCTGTATCTGTGAGTTGCCTTCTTTTCTGTTATATTCACTAGTTTGTTGTATTGTTTAGATTCCACATATAAGTGATATCATACAGTATTTGTCTTTCTCTGTGTGACTTATTTCACTTAGCGTAATGCCCTCCAAGTCCATCTATGTTGCTGCAAATGGCAAAATTCCATTCTTTTTAATGGCTGAGTAGTATTCCATTGTATATATATATACCACATCTTCTTTATCCATTCATCTGTTGGTGGACACTTAGGTTGCTTCTCTATCTTGGCTATTGTAAATAATGCTGCTATGAACATTGAGGTGCATGTATCTTTTCAAATTAGTGTTTTTTAGGGGGGGTATATACCCAGGAGTGGAATTGCTGGGTCATATGGTAGTTCTCTTTTTGCATTTTTGAGAAATCTACATACTGTTTTCCATAGTGGCTGCACCAATTTACATTCCCACAAGAGTGTACATGGGTTTCCTTTTCTCCACATCCTCGTCAACGTTTGTTATTTGTGTTCTTTTTGATGATAGCCATTCTGACAGATGTGAGGTGGTATCTTGTTGTGGTCTTAATAAATAACTTTGTAAATAAAGTGGTCTAAATAAATAACTTTAATTACAGATTCCATGGCCTATTTTCAAATTCCACCATGATATCTAAAAGGCATATTTTTTCTATTTACCTCTTGTTCTGATTTCTTGCTTTCCTTGAATTTTCTAGAGTCTCTCCTCATATGGATTTGTTTTTCCTTTCTTCCTGGGCATTCACCCAAATGAGAAAGAGAGTAACTTTGCTTTGGAAACGTTACTTAAGAATCTGGAGATTAAGGTTAAGAAAGAGTGTTTTACATTGTCATGGTTCACCAAATAACACAGTTGAGCATTAGACATCCCAGAAACGTCCCCCAGCCATCCCTACCACTGAAAACTGGCCTTCACTTTTGAATCCCCATCCTCCTTTCGGCTTGATCTGTCACCTAAATTTTGCCCCTGTTCTCATTTCTAACTTTTTTCAGACTTGGGCTTGCTCACCCCTTCTTTCTTGAATTACCTATGCAAACTCAAGATTCTTTTTACATTATTATAGAAAAAAATTAATTTTTTGAGCACCTATCTTATACTTTATAGGAAATTTCTCATTTTATTCTCACAGTGTTTCAAAGAAGGCACTGCCACATTTACAGGGAAGTAATCTGAGGCCTAGATAGAGTGGGAGACACTCGTAAGATCAGACAGTTAACTACCAGTTAATTTTGATACTACTAGTATCAAAATCCAGAATTTGAATCTAGATTTGTCTCTACAAAGCCTTTATTGTCTTTTACCTTACACTC